GTTATTCTCACGGGGCCTGATTCTGATCTCATGCTAGTTGGCCCTAATGTAACTTTATTGAGTACAATGGAGTTACTCCTGATTTACAGCTTGGTGAGGAGAGAATCGAGCCCACAGTTTTGATTGAGAAATTTTGCAGTTAGGTGCGAACCACAGTCACAACTGAGTCATGAATAGCACTGTTAATTATTTTTGCAAAAAGGACAAACTAGTGGCCTAATAGCAAATCAGTGGTAATTATGCCATGATGAAAGTTACAAGGTGGGTGAGGTACTATCTTTTATTGGACAAGCTTCTGTTGGTAAAAGAGACAAGCTTTTGAGCCACACAGAGTTCTTCTCCAGACCGAATACCAGCAAGCTCTACAGAAAAGGTTTTAGGGAAAAGGCTGCTTCAGAGAAGATTAATTTGCTAGAGTTAACCTACTTCTACCAGACTAGAACTTATATATTTTGTTTTATTTGTAACCATATCTGTTTCTGTTCTCTTTGTTTAGTATCTCTGTGCTTTATTCATAAACTTATGCTTGGTTTTACTATAAGTTCTTCTCAGTGTATTAATACAAAAGTGTGACTCCTCAGCTCAGCTAGCAGGCTGGTGTGCATAACTCTCGCTCTGGAGACCGCAGACTTGGTAATTTCTGAGAGTGTCTAGTAACGGGCTGGCTATTGGTGAAGAACCCATTTCCAGGATGTTGGGGAACTAGGTTGCATCAAGTGTTATCTGCAAGGCATAGTAAAAGCTGGCAGAGCTTTAGAGGAAATTGTATGGTTGGCTAACAGACTGGGGTGACAGGGAGCGGTCACTCACCGCTTGTCTTCACTACCGGCTGCAATTGATGCAGTGGGTGTCAATTTAGCGGGTCTAGTGAAGACCCGCTAAATCGACGGCAGAGTGCTCTCCGGTCGACCCTGGTACTCCACCTCTCTGAGAAGAATAATATAAGTCGACCACAGAGCATCTCCCGTCGACACAACGCAACGAAGACACCACGGTAAGTCGACCTAAGCTACGTCGACTCCAGGCACGTTATTCACGTAGCTGTAGTAGCGTAACTTGGGTCGGCTTACCCCGATAGTGAAGACAAACCCTTAGTTTAGCTCCAGCAAGTCTCTCTGTTGCTAAGGCAGAGGGGTAAGAAGGCCACTCATAGTTCTGGGCTCCCTGAAAAAACAGTACTTTGGGTGATAAAGTGCCAAACGATTATGGCTTTTTGATGGTAACCGCTACAAAGAACACTTTCCTTATGAGCTTGATCCACAATTGACCTCTATGTCTAACCTCTCTAGGATGGAACTAAAAAAATGCTTCACTTTAGAACCATCAACTTGTAGAAATTACAGATAGAACCAGCTCTGGTCTAAATCTATCTGCTTAGATGCTGTAGTGTTAAGTGCTGTATAAAGACAGGAAGATAGTTTGATTCCCCATCTAGTGTAATAGGTGGGTTGGGTTGGTTTTTCATGACTGCATGATTTCCAGGGCTTTGTCGATCTGACATAACCCAAGCAGTGCTAATTCCAGCACTTCCCTCAGGAGACTGTTCTACATTACAGACCTTAATGTCAAACAATATATCTGGAACAGTCAGCCTAAATTTTCCTTTGCTCATTGCTCCTAGTTACACCCTCTTGCATCACCCTAAACAATTCCTTTCGCTCATTGATGACTTCATCTTTCAAATGCTTAGCAAAGAGGCAATGCAGATAATGGGCTCATTTTAGCGAGTTATGCCACTTTTTTCTTGTTTGATTTTTCCCTTGATGGAGGCGATGCACTTTCCCACATTCCCATGAACTTAAATTCCCCTGCAGTGCACATAGAAACGTAGGAATGAAAAGGGCCTCACAAGGTCCTCTAGTCCACCTCTTTCACCTCGACCCACCCCACGTTGAGGCAGGATTAAGTATACTTTGACCATCCCTGACAGATGTTTGTCAAACTTGTTCTTAAAAACTTCCAAGGGGTTTCCACAACCTCCCCAGGTAACCTGTTCCAGGGCTTCACTATCCTTGTAGTTAGAAAGTTTTTCCTAATATCTAACCTAAATCTCCCTTAATATTGCTGATGTCAAGATAACAATTAAACATCAGGTAAAGGAAACAAAGCATAACAGACATTCCCCTTCCCTAGATAGTAGATGAAAATCAGAAAGATGGTGTGATCGGTGTCGGTCCGCCTACCCGCTAGGGGGCGGTGGGGAGCTACGTCGTCACGGGCTGGCCGGGGTTACGCCTCCGCCAGTGGGGAATTAGCAGCGGAAAGGCTGCCAGCCAGAGTCTGTAGCGCGCCCCTCAGGCAGGGGAGCACCGGCAAAGGTCAGTAGCGCGCCCCTCAGGCAGGGGAGCGCCGGCAAAGGTCAGTAGCGCGCCCCTCAGGCAGGGGAGCGCCGGCAAAGGTCAGTAGCGCGCCCCTCAGGCAGGGGGGCGCCGGTAATGGTCAGTAGCGCGCCCCTCAGGCAGGGGAGCGCCGGTAATGGTCAGCAGCGCGCCCCTCAGGCAGGGGAGCGCCGGCAAAGGTCAGTAGCGCGCCCCTCAGGCAGGGGAGCGCCGGCAAAGGTCAGTAGCGCGCCCCTCAGGCAGGGGAGCGCCGGTAATGGTCAGTAGCGCGCCCCTCAGGCAGGGGAGCGCCGGCAAAGGTCCCGGCGTGGCTCGGCCGGGTAGGGGAACGCAGGCCCACCTTACACCACTGCGTTCCAGCCCAGGGCCCTGACGGTGGCAGGACGAGGGTCCCGCCACTGGATCAGCGGGGTCCTTCCGTGATACAGACTCACCACTGTGCAGCTTTGTCCCTGGGCTACTTCCTACCCGATCGCTCGTCCGGATCCCTCTGATCCCGTCAGTGCGTCGGGGTAGTCCGCTCTTGGCAGCTCCAGCTCCCCCTCAGGCTCAGGCTCCTCCAGCTCTCCCCAGTCCTTGGCTGCTGGCAGCTCCAGCTCCCACTCCGGCTCCTCCAGTTCCCCTGGGTACTCGGCAGCGGGCAGTCCTGGCAGCCCCAGTCCGTCCTCCCGGTGCGGTTTCCCTTGGTCCAGGGCCTCCCCTGGCGCGGCAGCAGGATCTGAAGGGAGCAGCCCGCGGTCTGCGTCTGCCTCCCTCCTTGGTGCTGCCCTGACTGAGCTAAGGGCCCCGCCCTTTATACTTCCTGTTCCACCCCTCCCCTTCCGGGGGGTGGAGCTAGCTTGGGCTGGCCCCGCCCACTCCGGCTGAGAGAAAGGCCCTTTTACCTCCGGTTCGGAGGGCAGCCACCCTGGCTCCCTACAGATGGCAGACAGGCACTGGGCTGTTAGAGTCCGGTTGGGAAATAAATGGATCAAAGAAAACGGGATTGTTAAAATAAAGTATTTTACACATCCCAGTGACTACGTGCACCATATGGCTCTGCTTGTTCCTTAGGACACTGTAGGGAATGAAACAGAAGAGGTTTTGCAAGCAGTGCAAGGAGTGTATTGATTTGTGGGACATTCTGAACTTTGAGTAGATTCTATGGAAGATTCACAGGAATGTTCTCTAGTTGCCAAGGAATCCAGCAAGTACAGCATCGAAAACTAAATACCACTACCAAAAACCACACATGCTATTCATTTTCTCTTCCTCTCTGGCTATAAACACATTTGACATGATTGTGTGGTTCCCATCTTCTGCTTAATTGTTGATTTTTTTTTCCAATTCCATATTTGGCATCTTTTTTAAATAAAGCGGGAATAGCATTTGACGGTTTCAGGCAGCACAAACCCTGTTGCGTTCATGGAGTGCAATAATAGTACTGACCATTCAACATGCCTGTGTGAAATGTGGAGGAATTATTGGAGAAAGGTCTATGGCCCCAATCCTGCAATGAGCTCTGCATTTTAAGGTCCCAGCACATGTGCAGAGCCCCACTAAAGTCAGTAGATCTCTAGGCAACCTCAGGTGTCTTTCCCCACAGAACAATTTTCAGGATCAGTGCTTAAGGCTTGAGAGCAGCAATAAGAAATGACCACTGAGGTGCAATGGGAATTTGTACACTGAAATTGCTCTGCAAGCTCATCAGAGAGATCCTCTGAACAGCTGTCATGTGCTTGCACTGTGCTAAGAAAGAGTGCATGGTGGAGATTTGGGGGAAGGTGTAAAAAACAAAAAGAAAAGGCTCTGGTTTGTAATGTGTTTTCAGATCAAAAGTCTTGTAGCTGCAGGGGAGTGACCTGGGGCAGCGCCCCATTCTGAAAGGCTAAGTCTGCCATTCCAAATGGGAGATTGTAGATTGCCCTTGGGTACAACACAGTGCGTTAATTGCTGTATAAGGCTACACAGGGGAGTTTGCTTATTGTTTAGAAACAGGTTGAAAAAGAAAAGTGCATTAGGAGTTTTGATGAGACCAGGATTGTAGCCACATCCTAAGGGCAGCTTGGTGAATGAGTGATTAAAGTGTTTTGAAGAGAAGGCCAGTTACTAAGCAAGCAACAGCTATGGGAATCACAGATCTTTTCCCCTTTGGTACTGGATGAGTTGTTGTCACACACTCCTTAATCACGAACCAAAGTTCGTTTGTTAAACCAAACAAATCAAGACGTGTAGGTTTCAGTTGCTGCCTGGCAGTTCTTAGATTACTTTAGAATTTTGTCTCTGTTCTGCTAGTTGTTAACAAACTCAAGAAAAGAAAAGTTATAAGCTGGTAAAACAGAAATCACGGATGCCATAAACCAGCCAGGGCTGTAACTTGAGAGGTCTTCTGAAACTAAATACAACAAATTAAAGTTTATATGAGTCCTATGGGCCCAATAAATTGTGGAGGTTTAAACTAGCTGGTTATAAAATACTCTTTTAACATTTTACTTTCATTTAAAAGCCAATATTAAGGTATCATTTGAAATTTATATCTTTCTGACTTGCCAGCTTGTTTAATATTGATCGTGTATCGTTTTAGCCCCCTGAGCAACTAAAGTCAGCAGTGCCAATAAAAGTAAAATGCTTGACTTTGTGACTGTCTAACCTGCTTTACTGTCTTTTTATTTATATTTTTAGATGCATCATCCTATTCAGATGAAACCCGCAGATAGTGAAAAGTCCAATGGTAAGTGATTATCCTATTTCCTACTTAATGTGTGTGTGTGTCTTTTCATTTGAAAAAACAAATGCAAGGTATAGCTTATGCTTTTCTCTTAAAATAGTGAAAACCCTTTAAGGAAGTATCCCTATAGCGGAGAGGTCTGGAAAAATGTTGACCTGTTTTGAACTCCCGTTTATCTTCAGTTTAAAGAAAGGAGGAAGTGTTCTTTCCTCTCTTCCTTATACATTCTCTGTGTCATGGCTTTGTTGTGTTTGTCTTTTGTTGGCATTCTGCTGACAGTAGTTGTGGAGTTTCTTAGCAATCAGTAACACCTGATGCTGATAACAGTCTGAGATTAAAATAATATGGGAGTGGAAAGAGAAATTCCCATATTCAGGAAAGTATTTAAGCACTGTCTGAATTGGACTTAGGGATATTCTTCAAGTTAAGCATGTGTCTAAACACCCTTCCTGAATAAGGATGCTTCTCTGACTCTAGGATCAATTTAGAATCAAACTGGATGTTTTGCTCTTAATTATGAGACCCATATTGACTTTTGTTTTAGGTAGGGTACTCTAGACCTCTCTCAAATAAATATTATGACAATAATATCTATTCAAAATATAGCTTATTGACTTAAGGAATATATATGATATGCAAAATCTACAGTGTGCTAAATCTATAAAATACATCAGATCTGCATATCCCAGGCATTAGACAATCTGATGGTAGGGCTGCCTGTGTGTGTTTTTGTTTAAAAAAAAAAATCTATACATCTTTTCCCCCTTGATTCATTCCTATAATTTACTAAAATATATGTTAAAGAAATCACCTTCCTTCTTAGACTGCAAGAGCTTCTTTTCCCCATAAGGCTGACATAATTAGAGCCGGTGTCTTCCAACAGGCATCTCTGCACCTCATTAATTAGTAATCAGGGCAGAAGCCATGCACTTAGAGATCTACATATCTGCAAATGTAAATGATGATTGGGCTCGAAATCTCTCCGCAAGGTTTTGCTAATTGTACTGCATCCCATTTTTAGCCTTCTCCACAGACTCAAGTTTAGAAGGAACTTAAAACTTTGTACTGTGCCCCTTTCCACGTTGCGGCCGGCTTTAAAAACTGGCCAGGTGCACCGTGGAACTGGGCTGGCCCCTATGGTAATGGAAATGGGGAAACTTGCTCTTCTATTGGAGAGGTGCTCACATAACATCAACCAAAAAAGCACTCACCGCCAGCACGAAGTCGTCACCCTTGTTTGGATGCTCAGCAGAAAGGCCAAGTAATCTGAGTATGCAGACTGGGTGAAATCCTAGCCCCATTGAAGTCACTGGGAGTTTTGTCACTGACTTCACGGGGACCAGGTTTCCACCCCAAGTATTTATCATGCTTTCAATGGCCGATTTTTTTTCTCCTCTGCAAGGGTACTGCATAAAACCCTATGAACTAATTAAGTCCAATGTAAGCCTTATATGGGCCCTTCTACATAGGGTAAATTTCACTCTAAAATCTCATGGACAGAATAGAAGTGCAATAGAAAATTGACCAAAAATGAACTACCCCCTCATCCCTAGACCGTGTCCTCCCAGAACAAGACTCAAGCACATTGGCGAAACACTGTAGGGAATTTTGCAATGCCTGAACCGGTACCATGCGTAAGTGCCTTGCTCTCCAAGGCATTCTCCAGAACCTTTCACCAGCACTAAATACAGCTAAGTTACTTTTTTTTCCCCTCCAAAAGTTTTCCAGATTTTGGGAGAAGGCACAGAATTCCCAACTGACCAAAGGAAAGTAAGCAGGTGGAATGGCCTCCTTTAGATTAATCTTCTGAAGAAAAGCAAACGATGTCTAATTTTCATATGCACATTTAGAATGTTGAGAACTCTTTGCTGTTTGACGTTGGAGAGGAAAGCTACTGCTATGGTGATGAATGTAGCGTAGCACCTTAGAGATACAGGAAGTGGGATCAGAGCCAGGGCGTGGGAGGTGAGCTAGAGGTTTGGTAGCTAGGGGGAGCAGAGTGGTGCAATGCAGAGGAACAGCTGGTATCTGTTTTCTGGCTGCCACTGTGCCAGCAGCTGAAGAAGGGCATGTGTCTGTGCCAATGGCACACTGGAAGGAAACAGTATGCCATCAGCAGGGCACGCAGGGTGAAAAGGGCTCCGGAGGAGGAGAGAGAGGTCTGGGGAAGAGATAGAGCTAACCAAGGTGGGTTGGTCTTTGTGATGGGGTAGTGTTTGAGCATTTGTGGGGAGTTCTTGAAACCCTTTGTTCTCTCACCATGGGAAGCGATGCATCAGAACTGAATGGTCCCACTAGGTTTTATTGGTGACTAGAGCTTCTAAAAGTTCAAAGAGCTTGAAGACTCCTGTTGACCAAAAGTTCCAAGTAGTTCATAGATAGACATAAGAGAACTATAGCAAGCTCAGACTGCAGTTCTCTTGAGTTTACCAACCTCTCTGTAGGGCTGATGAGACCCGATGAAGCTTGATATGAGTTTGAAGTTCCCTTGGTAATTTTACAGGATTTCTAAGACTCAGTATTTGCTGAGTGACAATGTTGAAAATCCTATTAAGCTGGATGATCTGGTTTGACAACAGTTTGCCCAGTTCTGGACTCAAAACCAAAATTTGTGTGAAGGTTTTGCAATGTTCCGTTTAGTGTCTTTTTAAACAAAAACAAAAAAAATTGCTCGCTTCTGAATTCCAGGGCTGGACTTGCAGTGCCAAAATATTATTGGAAGGGAATTTCTGCCCCAATTGGAAGCAGAAAGCACAGTAAATCTCATACATGCTTCTTATGAGACTTCCAGATGCAAGAGGGTTTGGATGAGCGACCAGACTTGTGGGCACTTGCATGAAGTGGCCCTGAACCATGACCCCCTTGTGCTTTATGTGTCACTTAGGAGCCAATCCTCTGCTGACTTATCCTCATATCAACCTCCAGATGCCAAGCTTGAGTCACGGACCTCTATAGGAGTGATGTGGTACAGACATCTCCCACACATGCCTGGTTATGGAATAGCAGTGGAGCAGCACCTTGCCACGTCTACAAGGGCATTCTCAGACTTTGTGTCCCCCTATGCAGGGTGGAATGGCTGGTGAATATGGGTAGCAGCCTCCAGACTTGCTCTCCATCCCTCTGTATGAAGGGTGAAGGTGGGCCTCTGCAGAGCATGACAGTACACTGGCCTTCAGATGCAGCAAAATATAATCTGTTTCATGGTACCCAGGGCCTTCTGCAGCTAGATCAAATGGAGCAGCATCCTTAGTGCTAATGAATTTCTTTCACTGGAGGATACTTAAAATAATTAGCTGATAAACTTACCCTCCCTAAAAGTTCTTCCTTCGAAAAGATGAAATATGCAGTATACGGTGCTCATAAATGCATAGAGTTTGAGGCCAGAAGAGACCATTATATCTTCTAGTCTGTCCTCCTGTACATCTGTACATACTGTCTTCTCTCATTAATGATGGACCTCAGGACAGATATCCCGAGGACAGCATATGCCCGTTTTTATAAAATGCCAAGACTTCGGGAAAACCAAGAAAAATTCTCCATTGCATTATCCTGGACTTCCTTTCTGATTCACTGAAAGGGTGAAGAAATGGTTTTGAAATCCTAAGTGGAGAAACTTGCAGATTTGGAAGCAGTAATTAAATGCCATATGTCACCACTAACACGTAGAAAAGTTGTTAATTAATTCAGGCAGTTCCAGATCCAGGTGTGACTTTGACAGATTTTACACTAGGGTTTTTCGCCAGCTTACAAATAAGGATAAAAAATCTTTTTTCCTTCCCTCGAGGGGGGAAAAAACATTTGTACTTAAATAATTAACCGTTACTTGATTGGCTTAAAGGAAAGGACAACTTATTCTGAGAAGGAAATAGTGTTCAAGATGTATTTAAATATGATAGCTTCAGTCACTTAAGGGGACACTGCCATGTATTTTCACGATAGAATTTTAGCTTCTGGGAAGAAAGAGAGAAGTTTAGCAAACCTTAATAGCATTTTTTCATTATTTAATTGTTTAAACATTCTCCTGTAGTGCTGTGATCCCAAACACAGCCCCTTGGTTTTAACCTATGAGAATCCATAACTGAAATGATGGACTGGGAACAGAGAAGTGAAAAAAGATTAGTCAATTTTCACTGTCCAAGCAAACTGAGTGAAGTGTAAAAATCAGACACTAATGCCTTTCTACTGCAATGCAGCGACTTCAATGGGACTCCTCAAGGGCTCCACCCAGGCAGACAGAGCTTCAGGATTGGGTCCAATCTACATTTACAGAGCTTGATTCACTGGTACACTCTAGCTGCTTTGTCCTGCTCCGGCAATGCAAAGCATCCGTACATTTGTTAACTAGCAGGTCATACATCAGGTTGCATCTGCTTTACGTTGCCAAAATAGTGCAAAGCAGCTGGACAGCAGTATTGAGTCCAAAATCCAGGCACCAGAACGAATTCCTCCCTGCAAAAAGTGATTTAAATAAATAAATAAATAATGCGTTTTGATCTGTCTTCTGAATTTTGAACTGCTCCTGTCCACGCCAAGTGTCTGTAGATGGCAATTACAGTGTGAAAATAAGACCTGAGAAATGGGAGGCAGTGTTCTCTAGAGGGTAGGGCACTGGAGTGAGCCTCAGGAGACCTGGGTTCCATTCCTGGCTCTGCCACTGGTTTGCTGGGTGACCTTGGGCAAATCACTTTCCCTCCCCGTGCCTCAGTTTCCCCATCTATAAAATGGGGATAATGATGCTGACCTCTTTTGTACAGTGCTTTGAGATTCCAACCTCCCCCAACCCCCAGGCCAGGCTCCAACAGCTGGCTCTTGTCTCTAACCTGCATGGGATGGGGCTTCCTCTGGGGTCTTCTCTCCACTTTCCTGCACTGTGGTGGGAGGTGAGGCCACTGCTGTCAAGATCAGAGGAAGGAGGCCTGGTCCCATGGTCAGTGCCGCAACTAGACATTTTAGCACCTGGGGTGAGCAAGCATATTTGCACCCCCTACCATTTTGGGGGGGGGGGGGTTAGTTATTTCTCCTCTCCCGGGGCTTTATGCCCTGGGCGGCTGCCTCGCTTGTCCCCCCCTCTCCCTCCCGGTTACGGCCCTGCCCGCTGTGTGCACCATTTCTGGGGCTCTGCTCAACTCTGAGCACATGCTGACCTGTAACATATATGGCACAGCAACCTCTAATGGTTAAAGTGGGGTGACTAGGTATCCGGTTTTCGACTGGAACGGCCGGTCGAAAAGGGACTCTGGCAGCTCCGACCAGCACCGCCGACAAGGCCGTTAAAAGCCCGGTCAGCAGTACTGTGGCTGTCCTGGGGCACCGCGCTGCATCCCGGAAATGGCCAGCAGGTCCGGCTCCTAGGTGGGGGGGCCACCGGGCTCCACGTGCTGCCCAAGCCCCGGCTCCGAGCTGGCAGGGGGGGTGCCTGCGGGCGAGAGGAGCACGCGCCATGTAGCCTCCTGCCCCCGGCGCCCTGCTTAGAAACCGGACCTGCTGGCTGCTTCCGGGGCGCAGCATGGAACCAGGACAGGCAGGCAGCCTGCTTTAGCATTGCTGACCGGGAGCCACCTGAGGTAAGCCCACGCCCCAACCCCGTACCCCAGCCCTGAGCCCCCCCAAACCTGGAGCCCCCTCCTGAACCCAAACCCCTCATCCCCAGCCCCACCCCAGAGCTCTCACCCCCTCCTGCACCCCAGCCCCCTCCCGTACTCCGAATCCTTCGGCCCCACTCCTGCACCCCAAACTCCTCATCCCTGGCCTCACCCCAGAGCCAGCACCCCCAGCCCAGAGTCCTCACCCTTCCCACACCCCAATCCCCACCGCCTCAACCTGCAGCCCTTTCCCACATTCCGAGTCTCTCAGCCCCACTCCCCAGCCTGGAGCTCCCTCCTGCACTCCAACCCCTCATCCCCAGCCGGAGCCCTCACCCCCTCCCACAACCCAACCCCCTGCCCCAGCCCAGTGAAAATGAGTGAGGGTGGGGGAGAGCAAGCCACTGAGGGAGGGGGAATATAGAGAGCAGGGGCAGGGCCTCGGGGATAGGGGCAGGGATAGGGTGTTCGGTTTTGTGCCAATAGAAAGTTGGCAACCCTTGGTTAAAGTGTGAAACTGCCAGCCACATGGACAAAATCTGTGAGCTGCCTCCATTTTACTGTAGAGACCCCCTCTCCCCTGCCAAATTGTTTGGGTGTATTTGACCTGTAATCCTCACAGCACTTTAACTATCAATCCCCACAACACTTCTTGTTTATAATGGAAAGACCGAGGCAGAGAGGTTAAGTAACTTGCCCAAGAACACAGAGATAATCAGTGTAAGAACCCAGGAATTTGTGGCTCCCATCCTATGCTGATAGGAATAGATCATGCCTTTCTCTGCATGAAAGTATATTATATTGTTTTAAATTGACATCATGCCTTACAACAGAGGTAAGGCGCCTATGCAGTTTTTATCTTGGCAGTGCTCCTTTAAACGTTCTGTGTGGTTAGGCATTTAGCCAAGATAAAATTACAAATTTCTTAAAGTTTACCTCTGATCAGCAGTACCAAACAGCATTGGCTGTGAGGCACGTCATCCTACCAATATGTCTTCTGTACACTGAGCATTTTCCTTGAAATGTGCATTTTGAAGATGTGCAGTACACAGGAGCTGGGTGTTTAATTTACTATAAAATCACCCTCCAGCTGAAAACCTGCAAAATCGTTTTAGTTAAATGGCATATTTGTAGATTTACTAGTGAAAGTGAAGGAGGTCAGTGAGGAGTTTGTCATCTGCTAGTGTCTGGAAAATTAAAAAACATCTTCACATTTGACTTTGGCAGAGTAGCATCTTCCGCTTTTCTTTGTAGGCTGGAGGAAGAGATCCCCTGCATCCATTAAGGTCCCTTATTTTGTATCTTCCGCTTGAAGATAAAAAGTCTTCACCCTTCCCTGTACGCAGGAGCAGATGGGACACCCTTTGGGGCTAGAGTACAGTTGCTTAATTGGCTGAGGCAGTGTCGTTTGTAGGATTGAGCATGGAGCTGGGAGCTCGGGACTCTTGAGTTCTGATCCCTGCTCTACTGCTAAATCACCATGTGGCCCTAGACAGGCCACGTGACTTCTCTGTGTCTCAGTTTCAGCATCTGTAAAATGGGTCTTAATAGTACAAATACCTATAAAAAATATGGGTCACACTTTATGGTATGGTTCTGTTTATAAAGGATGAACAAATGATTAATAGATGTAATAAATGGTAAAACAATTGTGCCCTATGAAGCACTATCATGGACCCAACTTACATCTAAATTCTTTTTTTTTTTTTTTTTAAAGCATTTCCATTAGCTTTTGGGGTTCTGGAAAATGCATTTTCCCTATGCTTGCCTGTGTAAAATAGCAGAATGCCTTTCTTAACCATTCAGTAAAGAAGTACTACCCAGTTAAAAAAAAATTACTCCAAATACCCCTTCTGTCTTCAATAAACATTAGCCTCGGTTTTTATCGCTGAAATTATGTTAAGGGCACTAAAAGTGTCAATACCAGTAAAATCCCATGAAAATATACAGGTTTCTTCCTTCTCAGCTGCAATTTATTCTGTTTGACAAACACATGCTAATACATGCAGGGTGGGTCGGGGTGCAAAGGAAGATTCATTTTTTATAAGCCCAGAAATGAAAATACTTCATTAGAAAAATAATTTGCACAATAGAAATAAATAAGTGCACCACAGATACTCTGGAGTAAAGCTTTCCGTCTGTGTTTGCTTCCTGCAAAATTCTGGCAGTCTGCTCATTAACACTGAATTGGATTTGCATGCCATTTCAATAGCAGAAGAAAGGAGCATTGTACATACCATATAATAAGCCCTTAGATTTTTTTTTAATATAGGGAGATTGTGAGTTAGCATTAAGTCTTCCAGATCGGAGTTCGGTTATTGCAGTTTATTCCATCTTTGACACCAGTGTATGACTTGAGCTTCTTTTAAACTTCAGAGCCAGCATACACACCCAGCTAGAACGACCTACTTTACGCTGGCCGTGTAGACGATGTAAAAAGGAGATAATCTACCGATATCTTTGGCAAAGTGCTTGTTGTATTTCTTGCAAACTCAACATCATTACCAATCAAAGGATTTGGCTTTTGGAAAGTAATATGCACTCCCCTTGTTGAAGTGCTGCCCTGGAACATACATTGTGTCCATTTGAAGAGAGACTACTGTGTCATTATGGGGGAAGAGAGGAAAATTTAATGCATTATTCTTTCCATTGCAGTCACTACAAACCTGCTTCTGAGTGCCATGCATTACAGCTGGTTGAAATGGAAAGCTAGAATCCTTTTCATATAAGAATGTTTTTGTAGAGTATTTTTCATTAACTCATTTTATTATGTGCACTCCGCATCACCACCGCCACCCACTGCCTGTCTTGCTTCCTTTCATACATTTGGGAGATGGGGGAGGGGGAGAGAGAGGGAACATATTCAAATTAGAATCTATACAAAAATATCTTGAGTCTCTGACACCGGATGTTTCCTTCTCTTAGAAATCATGATGGGGAGGGGGATGAAAAATGTCTTATTCATGCAACTAATATGACAATAGCACCCACAAAAAGAGAGAGAGAGAGAGAGATTCAGGGAGGAAGAGGGGGAAGGGTTGAAAATATAAAGAGTTTGCCTTAGGACTTGTCTTCAGTTGCAGAGCCAGACTCACATGACTGGAGCTTGGTTTGATGTGGTAATGAAGCATTGATCACAGGAAAAAGATGAAATGGCCTTTGCTCATTCATTATTTTTATCTTCTAGCTGTGGAAGACAGAAAATTGTTCATAGGAATGGTTTCGAAGAAGTGTAATGAGAATGATATCAGGGTGATGTTTTCTCCATTCGGCCAGATAGAAGAATGCCGAATTCTTCGGGGACCTGACGGGCTGAGCCGAGGTGAGTGTGCAGTCTATAAAGTCTCTTTCCTTAAGTGCTAATTGGAGCTATATGTCACAGTCAGGGTAGATGTAGCCACTGTCTGCAGCGAGAGGTTACACTGTAATATGTCCCACGTGACGGAGTTACCCACATGAACTTTTCACAGTGACTGAAATTATCACCTTTTATTTCAAATGTCAGAAAGATCTCAGTGCCAACATATTAACGTGTGTTATCACGCTGTTTGTCAGATTGAAAAGGTACCATTGAACCCTGACATCTCCTATTTTCCCTACCAGAAAATCAAAGTTCCCTCCCCCCACACACACATTTTGTACCAGGGAAAACAAATGGCTGGTTTATGGCACCTGGGGCCATGCAAACTGGTCCATACTATAGTATCCCTCTACTACCACTTTCTTTGTAACCATATGTAAAATGTGTCTCTGTATTGCCTCTGGAATAAAGGGGTTAACACCTAGAGTTTTGCCCAGACAGAACTCATGAAGGGAGCTTTCATAGCTCAAATCCCTATGTCCAATTAGAGCCGGCGCAGGCGTGCCAAACAGCAGTGCATAGTGCAGTCATATGAAAGACCCGAGTTCTGGACCACATGCCAGACTCCTACTTTATTGTGTTGGAAATTAAGTGCAATGCAGTCTTTGATAACTGATCACCCCCCTCCTCCACCCTTTTAGATATGCAGCATATAGCATTTTGTACCTGGAAAAGGCTCTTGAAAATATATAATAAAAAGAAAAGCAGATCTATATCAATGACCCCTGCTGCATATTAAGCCTTTGTTGTATTGACCTGGAATTACTCAGACAGAACAATCCTTCCCACTAGCTAATGACATATGGAATTGAATTGGGAAGAGGATCAGGGCAAGCTTGTCGGCCTTAGGGGAACAGTGCCATGATATCCGCTACCATAATTTAAAGGCACAGGGAGTAAAAACTACTCTAAAATGTGGGGTTGTTGATTTTATTAAGGAAAAGCAAAACTCAATCATTCTGTTTTGGATATTTTTTCCCCCTCTAAACGTGAAAACGTACATAGGAATCACAGTTTATGCATTTTATTACATTTTCAAAACACAGAAAAATGTGTGTGTGTTTTTTTTTAACTTCTGAAGCATATTGTTTCTTTTAGACTCTGGTTTCTATATGTGCAGCCACTTGTGGTTTTTTTTTTTTTAATTATTCTGAGCAGCAGTTTGTCCACAATGGATATAAAGTCCAGCAGAATAGGTTGGGAACTGGGTGTCAGTAGGTCATCTGTGAAGGTGGAAAGCAGGGTCCGTACCATCTCCATGTAAATAAGGATAAAAAAACACTCACTGAAAAAATGCTCTGTCGATTAATGGGAAACCATATGTTCTGTTTGTGAGCGTTGGCCGAGGAAAATCAGGGCCTACAATTATATGGACTTAGACTCTGATCCCACTGCTGCTTGACCATCAAGAAGCTGCATGATCCTGGCTTAGGAGTCTAACTTTAGATATTCTTTTTATTTATTTTTTAAATCTTGGCCATAGGAAAGTAAAGCTGCAGTGGGGAGTTGCTGGATAACTACACCTCTACCCCGATATAACGCGACCTGATATAACATGAATTTGGATATAACGCGGTAAAGCAGCACTCCGGGGGGAGGAAGGGCTGCGCACTCCGGTGGATCAAAGCAAGTTCGATATAATATGGTTTCACCTATAACGCAGTAAGATTTTTTGGCTCCCAAGGACAGCGTTATATCGGGGTAGAGGTGTATTTAAATATTTAGACTAGATTATAAACTAGAGAATCAAGTCTTTGAGTCTTACAAGAGTTATTTGACTCCTCTGCATAATTCAGGAGCGGAAGCCACATAGTGGGTATCCAAGTATTCCCCAAGTCTTGTTCAATAGAGATTTTCCATCATAATCCCAGATCATGAGAACCTACAGGAAAGGGTAGGATGTGGGTATTTTTATTCCTCAATAGGTGGCAATTGCTATCGCCAGTTACAAATTGATTGAGTATTGCAGTGTAGCCCATTGAGCAGATGTTGTGGTAGTTTAAGGTTAATGTGCAAGGCTTTCACCTTTGGAGACGGAAGAGCATGTTCCAGGTACGTCACACTCAAACAGGTATTGGGATGTATTGGCTTAGTGGAGCTATAGCCTCTCTAATATTTGAGTTTATTCTGACAGTCACTCACAGTAATATAATACCAGGCTCTTTTGTTTCCTGCCTGTTAAACTTGAATTGCTTTCTACACCCATGCTACAGCCCAGTTTCCAGGCAGATGTTTGTCAACATCACAAAACCACCAGATCAAGAGAGAAAACCAAGCACTGGGAAAGTGCTGCGTGTTGAAGAACTGAACTGAAGTGCTGCAGGAGAGCTTTGGGTGGGAGGAATCTTGCGTGGCATAGAACCAAAATCAGGTTCTTTAAAAATAGAAGGAAAATTAATACAATTAAATCCTGCAACAAGTTCCAACATTTAAATGGATTCTCATTCACATTACTATTTCCAGTATGTTAAATTCCCCACACCATCTTTCTTCTCATGTGTAAGAGCCCACAGCTCAACCACGCTTCCAGATGGGAAGTCCCTATAAAGAACATAAGAACATAAGAATGGCCGTACCGGGTCAGACCACAGGTCCATCTAGCCCAGTATCCTGTCTACCGACAGTGGCCAATGCCAGGTGCCCCAGAGGGAGTGGACCTAACAGGCAGTGATCAAGTGATCTCTCTCCTGCCATCCATCTCCATTCTCTGACAAAAAGAAAGGAAGGTTGAATGAAGAATAGTCACATACTTGTGGGAATGCTGTCGTCTCAGCACATGGGCATTTGGGAGTGCACAATCCTCACAGCTCGGCAAAATGAAAATACAATCCACTAGGCTCTGCTTGAGTATTTCATCTTCTTCTCAATCAGCTTGCCTTAAAAATTAGCATATCATGATACCTCAGAAATAAAGAGCATGAAAAAACACATTTACTGATATTTATGCGAACTTTGGAGCTATGTAAAATGTGTTAGGGAAGGAATCTTTAGTATTAACAGATGTGACTTCTCAGTTCCAAAGGACAGCTACTGACTAGAGTGCTAGGCAGAACAGTTCAGTTTTGTGCTCTTATTTTTCTCTTAGTAAGGAATGAAAGCTTTCAGTCAGCTTTTGGAACCTGTTCACAGAAGAGTAGCAACACTTTTGTTGCTAGTATAGCAACGTTAGACTATAACGTTGTAGGGTAGACCTAGGATTATAGTCTACCTCACAGTTTGAACAGGGAAAAGAATCCCTGTCTACAATGGTAAAGGAAAATATAACACTCTGTGATGAGTGTGATATAGGTGCTTAGATAAGGAGACAGAGAGATTGAACTGGTTGTTGATAGTGTAGTTTCAAGCCAAGAGTAGATATGGTTCTAATAAATTCACACCCATTCTGCCGCTGTAGATAAAGGTCCGTCTGCATTTCCACTCCAGATTTGTATTGCCAGCTGTTTGAAACTCATGTGTAAAAGTAGCCTAAAGACATCATGCAAAGTCTCAGTGATGGAGCAATATATTTTAA